AAAATGTATGTGGAAAAGCAAAGGCTCTAGAATAGTCAAAACAGCCTTCAAGGCCGGGCATGGTGGCTCAAGTCTGTAATCCCAGCACTTTGAGAGGCCAAGGCGAGAGGACTGCCTGAGTCCAGGGGTTCGAGACCAGCCTGGGCAACTTGGTGAGACCCTGTCTCCACAAAAAATTTTATTTAAAAAATCTTCAAAAGGAACACAATTGGGAGACTTACACTTTGTGATAGCAAGACTTCCCATAAAGCTACTATCATCAAGTCAGTGTGGTACTGGTGTAAAGACCGACAAATAGAACAATGGAACAAAACAGAGAGTCCAGAAATATGTTCACACATATGTAGTAAAATTATTTTCTACAAAAGTACCAAGTCAAGTCAATGGGGAAAAGAATGTCTTTTTTTTTTTTGAGTTGGAGTGTCCTACTCTGTTGCCCAGGCTGGGGTGCAGTGGCACGCTCACGGCCACTGCAGCCTCAACCTGCTCGGCTCAGATTATCCTTCCACCTCAGCCTTCCAAATAGCTGGAACTACAGGCATGTGCCACCACGCCGGGCTAATTTTATGATTTATTGTAGAGATGAGGTCTTACCAAGTTGCCCAGGCTGGTCTCCAACCTGTGGGCTCAGGCAATCCTATCACCTCAGCCTCCCAAAGTGCGGGGATTATAGGTGTGAGCTATTGTGTCCAGCCAGGAATGTCTTTTCCGTGGAGATTCCTGGAACAACTGGAAATCTATTTGGGAAATAAATTGATATTGACTCCTATATGACTTTATTCACAAAATTAATTTGAGTGGTTCGTGGACCTCACTTTACAACCCAGAACTATAAAGCTTCCAGAAGATAATATAGCACAATATTTTGTGACTTGGGAGAGGAAGACCACAGAGATAGTCCTTGGGCAGGATACACAAAGAAAAAATTGGTAAAATGGCTTTATTCAAATTTTAAGTTTCTGCCTATCCAATGACACCATTTAGAAAATGAATAGGGCCAAGTGCATTGGTGATGCCTCTAATCCCAGCACTTTGGGAGGCTGAGGTGAGAGGATTGGCTGAGCCCATAGGTTTGAGACCAGCCTGGGCAACTTGGTGAGACCTCATCTCTACAATAAATTTAAAAAATTAGCCGAACGTGGTGGCGCGTGCCTGTAGTTCCAGCTACTTGGAAGGCTGAGACAGAAGGATCACCTGAGCCCAGCAGAGCATGGCAGCAGTGGCCAGGAGCATGCCACTGCCCTCCAGCCTGGGCAGCAGAGTGAGACTCCAACTCAAAAAGAAGAAAAGAAAAGAAAATGAATAGATAAGCTATAGACCTGGAAAAAAATCTTTGCAGTTATATACCTGCCAAAGAACTTGTATTCAAGATATATAAAGAAGCCAGGCTCGGTGGCTCAGCCTGTAATCCCGTGCCTTTGGGAGGCTGAGCTGAGTGGATTGCCTGAGCCCATGGGCTCAAGACTCGCCTGGGCAGGCGAGACCTCATCTCTACAATAAATCAAAAAATTAGCCGGGTGTGGTAGCGTGCTCCTGTAATTCCGGCTACTCGGAAGGCTAAGGCGGAAGGATCGCCAGAGCCCAGCAGGTCG